CAGGCCACCTGTTTCAGTTGGCGCGATATTCGAGATATCGCAGTCTATTTTCATTAAGGAAACTACTCACAAGGTTGCTGAAAACTCTTCAACAACCCACGGCCGGTTTTACCCTTTTAGGAGCTCTTCAGGTGGGCATCATTCCCGAGTTTCCTTTAACCTTATCTTCTGCCTGAATCCATACTGCATGAGATTAGCAAAATATATTAATTTGCATAACAATTTGTTTTGCTTTTCACGGGCGACCCAACCAAATCTCTCTTCAACTGAATGTGCTGCACTAGACTGCCACATGTTTCACTTGGTACGACACACCATATAAGTGAGACGACCGATTTGCCTGAAAGGCAATGCGGACTACGCCTTCTTCCTGCACTTTTCATGAGATGTCTCGGTGGGATTTCACATACGAATAATAGGCATCGCAGAGCTAAATGCACAAAAACTATGCCAAGCACATCTGATTTGTATCAGTTTGCCAGCGAAACAAAGATGCTTTTTCATGGCCGGGACTTCGGACGTTTGTGCTGTACATTCAGTCCCACAGATGGTGGATTATAGGAAGGTAAGAAGTAAAACACAAACACGACTCGATGAGTTTTTGCAGTGGCGTTTCGGAAATTCTTGTTTACCCGCCGGCCCACAGAGTGCACTAATGGTGGCAGTCATGCACGACGCTGATGTGTCATGGCCTGGAATTTAACTAAGAGAGATAAGGACGATTGGTAAAGAACGAGCGCTGAGATTTGGTGATAAGGTGATTTCTGTGAGAGATGTCGTTGATTTTGTGAGCATCATTCAGCTTAAAAACGGATGACAGCGTTCACCCTCTTGTGAATTCGCATCTCCTTTCGATGCAAGTGACTTTTCGAGAGCCCGGCATGGCATCCATTAGGACCAAATGGAGATTTGTGCAACATACTGTGATAAGTAAAACAGTGACTCGTCAGAACTTAGCCCTTGTTTGCGTGAAGCTGTGTACGATTTAGCGAATTTCCACTTTTATTACCCGTTGATCCTCTTTCTGGACAGGGTACGCATACACAAGCTGTAACGTGTAACTGACATACATAGTGCGTGAATGTCCATGGAATAGCCTACTTGTGACGATCACCGATTCATTGTGGCCCCCAAAAGCTAGTCCGCGCTCCCACAGCTAAACCCCGAAGCATATCTTTCAGGCAAGTTAAAGCGCTTTAAGTTGACTGAGATTCGATTAGGTATAACAGAGAGAAAGTGAATAAAAGGAAGAAATTCGCCTCTGAATCCAAATTATATGACGATTGCCGTGTTCAGTAGTTCCATACATTTTTCTCGGGTAGCATGCAGACCCAGTTTGGTTGAGAAAGGATAGAAATAAGTTTTCCTGTACTAAGGACGTGGAGCCGATCAATTCTCAGCTTACTCATCACTAATTCTGAAGGCCAGCTTGCAAGATATTTTAGATGCTAATCCTCCTGGGCTATGAAGAAAGGTGAACAAGCAACCGTACCAACAGGGTGACCTTGCACCTTTTCAAGAATCAGACTTCCCGTTCACATATTTCTTTGACAACGTAATCCGGTCGTTCATAAGCTTTAGGATTTCCTGGCCAAAGTCAGCTCCAGTTGATCAGAGATGCAGAGAGTGGCAGGGAGGCCATTCCATCCGCTAGTTGTCCTCGGCAAGATTACCCTTGGAAATGCAAAACTGTATATGAGAACTTGGCCGCAACAAACTGAATCGGATCAAGAATTCAGGGTAAATTAAGGAAGGAAGTACAGATGCGAAGTGAATACGTGGGGATGCATTGGACGTATGATGAAAATGAATGATGATCGGAATACATCTAAAACATGAGTGCATGAATACACACCGAACTGTCATTTACTCACTCCGTGTGTACATTACGAAGCTACTCAAGCTATCAGAAATATCAGAAACCTCGAGTTAATGTGTGTCTAATCACATTATCATACCGAAATTTAAGCGAGTTACTTTGTGAATTTTACCCGTCGGAATGAGCTGATCTTTGTTCTTCATGCAATCGTAACCGAATCGATGAAAGGTGGCAAAACTGTCATAGCAAACTTGCCTAGTTAGTCAGCCTCCCTAGGTTAAAAGGCACATATCGGTCAGCTATCAATCACCACTGGCAGGTTTTTGCTTTGCTTTGCTGCGTCTGATCGATAGTTGTGAAAGCGGGACAAGCACCAAGCAGGATAATCAACTTTCCAAAAGTTTTTTTTCGCTACATTTTTTATTTCGTTTCACCCAAGCCGCCGGACAAGTAAGGGACCTGTCACTTTCCTAGGGGCGCTGTAACATGAATGGAGTTGCATTACAGGGACATCACCACTGGAGCTTCGTGGAAACTTGTTACTGGGTTGCGTCCCCGGCGCCACCAGAATTTCAGTCTAGGGTGCCACTCTAGCCTTCGCAAAACCAAGAGCAACCTATACTGAACCAGAGAGCTTACATGAAACGAGTGATCAGCCAGCCAGCTTCGAAAAGGAGTCGCATTCGCCCGATCAACCGGAGCTGATTTATGTTCTCACCTTTTTTTGTGGAGATTTCGTCCTGTAAGTGGAGCCAATCTATGCTGAAAAGCCGAGAAGCACAGTGCTTTTCGGCTTTTCAACATAGATTGGCTTCATCTACAGCAGGACGAAACCCACAAAAATCCCAAATCTCCTCACACTACCAACAATGTTCTCACCTTTGTTAGTTTAGAATCGGGGTATAGCCAGCTCCACTAGACATACAGCCAATGGACCGTCAACCAGATTATAGCGCGTGGCTCCGGCTTTCATGTCATTCACTTCACTGAAGACACGGTCACAAGAAGCCAACGAATAGGACATTTTTAGCAGATGCTACACGGCAGAAGGTCACACGGAGTACTTCAGCGGAGTGCGGATTATCTCATTATCTGTTCTCGAAAGCACCCACTGCCGATTCTATTGTAGCGTTAGGATGCCTTTCGGGAAACCACGAGTGAAAGGTCCTGAGGCATTTTTTATTTCTGTTGATACTGCACTTCCCACGGTGAGGATCACCAAGGTGAAACAAATATCCTGTTTCTAATGAATTGGTCGGTTAAGAAACTTGGCTATTTAGCTGGATGTCAACCACCCAATTGAGGGCCCACCAAGTGCTGTTCTCATCATACCGAAAAGTTTTTGAGGCGTCGAACGCAAAATCCTCACTCACTGGAGTCAAACCCACACTCCACTGTACATCGCATGACTTGTCGTATAACGCTGAGGCCATGAAAGCACACACTTTATAGGAGAGTTTGAGTTGCCAGGCCCAGGAGGAAGTAGCGCGAATGGTTCCGGAGACGTTTTCACGTGCGCACATGAGACTGTCGTCGGGACTCGTCCTCCAGGCGTGTCAATGCAGCTCAGGCCTTAGTGGATCGAAGCATGTGCTGACATATCACCAGTAGTTGAGGCAATTTAGAGTGCAACTCATTCTTTTAGGTAGTCTTAATAGGTTGTTGGTGTTTTGTACCGACAACAAAACGAGCACAACGACCATTCACGTCTCGCTGGCCAACTTACAAGCCGTTCTTTGAGAAAACATGCCAACCGAAATGCATTCTGTCCTTGTGACCGATCAGACACTCCATAGAAATGGTCAACTGGACTGTTTTCAGGAGCTGCTGTGTATTTCACTACCTCACTTTTGCCGACATGACTAAGCTTGCACCAATTTCCAAGCCTTTCTGGAACGATAACTTCTCAATCGGTTTCAGGCTTTTTCTCAATTGATTGAAAACATGCCGATACTGTTTATTCTAAAGCCCCACGGTCAAAAACGTATTTTATGTTTAAATAGCCTCACACATTCAGGCCTCGATTTTTACTCGGTAGCTTGAAAAATTTGACAAAATATAAGCAGAATCGACTCGACCTCATCAGTCCTGTGCATTCAGGACAATGCTCAGTCTGGTCAAACTGATCATTATTAATTGCGATCGAAAGAGGTGACTTCTTTCGGCGACAATAAAAAGGCATTCCACATTCTGACTTGTTGCTCCTCGCAAGATAGTTCTTGTTGCGTTCTGGAGGTTTTTTGTCCAAGTGGGATGTCCTATGTCAGACATTTTTTGATTCGCTGAAATCCATTCATCTATAGGTAATGAAAGATCTTTATCGGAGGGATTGCTTGCATGGCGATTTTACATTTCTCCATATCCTCTGTGTTCTGCAATCCCCAGTAGGTTTACGTAATTCCGTTGTGATCCAGATGGGCAAAACTTATTTTGACTTGGGGCGATTATGTGTAGGCTGTCGGCGTCCTACTCAGTGAGGTATATGGATGACCATCCTACTATCATACCGCTTTTCCGTGCATTCTTATCCGCCTTTTTTATTTAACTTTAGTTTGGTCCGATACGTAACTTGTTACGTAACAGAACCTCGGGTTGGTCACCAAACTGGAGCAAACGCGTGCTTTGTGTCGACAGCAATGCAGTTGGACTGAACCATGTGACAATGAACTACATTGACGCACGATCGCCAGTATGTGCACCGTTGCGTCCTAAATGCCTAAATGGTTACCTAAACTGACCAGTGCATACACACACTATTCCGGTACTAAGGCTACCGTGTGCGTCCGCATCCGCTCAATAGCAGGCGGAACGGTGACAATCGATCGAACTCGAAAGCTAAAGTGCAGCGGATCACGCGCACGCAGGTAGCATCGTTACGGAACTGTGACATTTTTTTACCGCCACGACAGGCCGTCCCAAACAAATGAATCAGGCTTGGATTAGTCCAGCTAACCGAAATGGATAGGCTCTAAAGAGGTAGTTCACCAGAGCTTTGGTTGGAGTTTCGCGGGAAGGCAGGATTATTCACTTTTTCGACTGACATCGGCATTGGCAATAGAGTAATGCAATCAGTTGTGCATGTGTTGTACTTCAAAATTAATAGTAGTACCAAGACGTAGTTAGTGAAAGATAACACTAGTGAGAACGTTAATCCAATTCGGAGCCCGCCTCCAATTCTCAGCTACCTACCCCACCTCCCCAAATCATCGGTGAACGAAACTGTGGCAGCTACAACCACTGTACGACAAGTACGCGGTCCTTACAGCCGGCAAAGATGATGGTGTCTTCGAGCTGTGATTAAACATTTTTTTCGAATTTTATATATCATTTCAGACCAACCCATCTGTATGGCTCAATAGTATGTAGGTCTGGCCAAATGTGAAAGTCGCACATAGGGTTCACTTGTAGCGAGCACGGTCTAGGGACAATGACCCATTTGCGAGGGGAGTGTTGCTATTTGGTGTGAAATCCAAATGCTTTTTTACACCTAAAGGTGGGATATGTGGCGCCTTATCTGGTGAAGAACCCTTGAAAGACCACTGATTCGACTCTCGCTTCAATCCGGGGGCGAGATAGCCCAAGTAGTTAGAGCGCGAATTTACTGACCGAAAGGTCCGTGGTTCGAACCTGACCTCTGCCCCTCGACTTCCCCTGTCTAGGCTTAGGCAACCTGGCAGTATCCCAGCCCTCGTGTTTCCTTCGCATGGCATGGCAGCTAGGCACCGAAAGGGTGCTACAGCTAAACGATTATTCGCTTCAATCCAGTTCAGCATACGTCAACTCGCTTAAGCTGTCAACAACCAAGGTAAATTCAAAAAAACTCAAAAGCACGGTTCATCATGGTGAACGGCATGCTGTCACTCCTGACATTATTGCCAATATTGGACATCGTTACTTCGCTGCCGTACAGCCGGGATAAGAAAGGCAAAATGGCGGAGTGATGGAGCCTGTTGCACGCAAGCAGTGTGGAAACTGACAACAAGAATGTCATTACCAAGGATTTAAGGGTATAGTGCAGTGAATTCAGTGGATTGAATTGAACCAGGTCGGTCACAAAAGCCAGACGGGGTTCTGATACGTTTACGGTCAAATAACAAAAATATCCAAGGACCTTCAACCACGAATCTGAAGAATATTCATAGAGTGAGACTGCTGGCTAGGTAGGAGCAGCTACCTTCGAGCAAATACATTTAAATTACAATGAGGGTAAGGATTGCTTGTTGACCTGTTTAAGGCTAACAAGTGCATTAATAGCCACATCTGGATATTAAAAAAACATCGGTAATAAATACTTGTTCGGTGGTTTCGAAAGCAAATCACCTACGTACAAAACATGCAGTTGCGATTCAAACATTTTAGCAATCACAACAGCCACGCGGTGGTTGCAGACCCAACAGAGACTGGTCAACTCCGTTTTATAATATATTCGATAGATCTACTTAGGTCAATAGGAAGTAAACTCGATAGAGTGAGATGACTAGATTCAATCTTGATAACATTCCGCTGCAGCGGCAATAAAAATGACGCCTCTCCATTGCTGTTGCGTGCAGGACACCAAAATTCAGTTTGTGTATTATATAATCAACTATATTTATGACCGAGGGGGGATGCCATCCAGCATGCAATGATCATTGGTGTTCAAGACCAATCCAATTTCAATCAATAAAATAGGTCTGTTGATCGACCTGACTGGCTGGAGTAAAGTGAGGTAATAGAGTTTAATAAGGGAACTCGGTGTCTAGTAGAACCGACTGATTATAGAGTAGCTTATGGAAGAGTGGCTATTTGCAGTCTTTAACTAAGCAAGGCTGAAGCGCAGAGAGACAGTGTTCAACCGATCGGCTGCTCTAAACGCATCGCAAATGATTTCCTGTGCCATTTTGTCACCCACGTGCGGTGAGAGCAGCTGTACTACGGAACATACTTATTGAAAAAACGAGCACCAGAAGTGCGTATTAATAAACGCTTCCGCACGGGACTGAAAAATCTTGAGTCCGTTGGGTTGAACATCATAGTTTCGTTGACACCATGAATTCTAGCTCAGCGGCCTCAAGATATCGTCTATTTTCTGAACTGCGAGTATGCACCCTAATTTTGCCGACATGAGGTCTGCGCACCTACCCGCCGGAGAGTTCCGTACTCACAGCGGCCTTGTGTCTAGCTGTCTGGTACTGATGACATACGGAGGCACCAAATCACTGTGACATGACTGACAAAATTCGTGGGATTGGGACGTTTAAAAGATGCTATTTTAGCGTGGGGTGGGGTTGTATCACTAAGTTGCTAGTATATGATACTCTCGTAGACCTGCTTAGCTAATCAACAACATATTGAAGACTTCACCAAATATCAGCAACTCCGGTTAAAAAAGGATGGCGGGTGCATGACATTACATCTGGCACAGATACCGTATGTGTCTGAGCTCATATAATGGGAATGCACAAGCACCGTAAAGGCGTAAGCTGAAACGTTTCGTAATGCACTGAATTTTACCGGTCACGTAAAGTGGACTGAGTTTGCTCACGTCGAGTGTCTCCGTGAATAGAAGAACCATAGTATTTCTCAATGACTGGCTGATTGTCCATTCCCAAATGAACGGTTTATTTACTCATGAATGCAACATAAGATCTGTTCAAAGACAGTATCATATACAAAATTTCGAAGCGTATGGACCGAGTCAAGTATGTCACATCGTGATTATTCTGCTCACAGTGGAATAACGGCTTCATCGATAGCATAGCTGTTTGGATCTCAGTAACCTACTGGATGGTGAGTTCAAACCAGAGTATTCTCCATGTAGCTAATCCATTTCAGGAAGGAACTAATTTAATCCAGTTGCAATCTTGGATTGTTATTTCGGCAAACTTCGGCAGGTGTTTCGGGCGATGGATGCGCTAAATATAGTCTAAAGCTAGCTTGCTCGAACTCCAAGCATCGCACCACTCCTCTGGGGTCAAATTTTCCTAATCACGTGCTTTTGGTAGGCACCCTTAAGTTAGCATACTTCGGCTTATAGGCTGTTAATCTGTTCGCCGAGCTGACTTCTTCGGTCTGAGGACATAGGTCTACCTCGCACCGCTTTTTTGCGGAGAAAACGCTATTGATTATCTCATTTGAGTATCTTGGCTGCCTATGGTTTGAATATGAGGTCCACCAAATTTATGTAGTTGCCTTTTAGTTTAGAAACAAACAGGTTTCCATGTGTTACTACGTTTCTCTTCCAACACTAATTTGCTTTTCGCATGTTTAGATGCCGATTGTTCGTGGCTGTTTGGTATACCCCTATACGTTGCTTTGTTTGCACAGTACTCCTTTTGGATGGCGACTTCAAAAAAGCCAAACGTATTGGAGATAATCTACCAGGACTGACCAGAATGGTTGCGCTAGGACAGGAGGACGATTGTGCAAACGACAGTCATGCGAGCATGCATTCAAACATTTTCTCGCTCATTGTTCTTTTCAGCGCAATCGGTCTTCACCGAGATTGGTTCGCTTTGTGTAATTGAGTACGGCATTCGAATCTTCACTCACGGTCGTTCGACCGTCAGTTGCGGTTTGGACTGCAGTGCCCTCTGGCCTGATTTTCTTCGTCTACAACATCCTGCGGTGACTGGCGTAATTTCGCTTAGTTAACTTTCCTAAGTACATTTTACGCGAAACAATTCACTTGACCCAGTCTTTCTCAGCTTTCCTGATTGGGGCGTTATTATTGTGTGGTTCAAAAGAGAATCCTATTGAGAGTCTAATAATGGACGTTTCGATGACAAAGGAACGTGCTGAGTGGCTGAGAGACAATGACAGTGACTTGTTCACTTGACGAAACCCACCTTTAGAGTCACCGAACAGTGGCCTGTAATGCTACAATGCTACTACAAACAACCAATACTGAGGATAATATTGATACCTATTTCTATCTACGTTATCTGCCCAGGTACTTGAGGCTTAGACATTAATAATATTTGCGCTGGACTACAGATAAGATTTCCCGTTCATATTTTGTCCCGCGTTCACAAAAGCGTTCTAGCAAGATACGTTTACGTTTCGACTGAAGTGAAGCATCCAAACTGCTATTCAGGACCAGCGGGACCGAGATTAACACTGTATGTAGGATTCCACTTTCTTGATCGATCGCCAAGTGATCAATGAATCTATATGAGTGCTGAAACAGGTACCAGGCTACCAGTATATCATTTCGGTTGTTTGATTTAGCTTACTTCGGGTGGGTGCATACAGTCTGTCTTCTGTAGCTACACCTCATGCCTTTCCAAAATAAAGCTGCTAGTCAGAACCCGAACTCCGGCAATGTCCATTACGGTCTACTCTGATACATGGCGTTCACTCAGTAAGCAATAGCTGGAACAGCTCGTTTTGTCATGGAGCCAAAAGGTTAGAGTGCCTGAGGCTCAATCGTACTGAAACTCATACAGCGGGATTCACGAGTCAGTGATTCATTGAATTCGGCTCCCGCATGAAAGTTTTTGTGTATCCGCCTCGGAACTGATGAAACAGCTGGATACCACCGTTAATCCATAGAGGATGAATGAGAGGCTGTCCTGCAGTGTACGGGCTTGGAGCCTATGTTGGTTCTCAAAACCCAGACCTAAACCAAGTCCCGTTCCCCCACCAACTCATTGAGTGTCTTGCATAATGCAACCATATTCCCAAAACAGTGACGTCATACCACCCATACAACTAGCTGCAACTTGGACAAAGAGTTAACTATTGGGGGTAATCCGGTTTTGCTCACAGGAAAGTGGTCGAAAACTGTCGACAGTTTTAAGACCCCTATACCTGCGATCACTAAAACAAACTAGCTAGTTTTGGTAAACTCAACTGCGCCTTCAGCAAAATGGCAGACCTGGCATTCGAATAGACAGCAACATATAGACTAAGTATGACCTCGCGAGTTACACCCACTTAACCGTCCGTGTCTCCGACTGGCACTGCCAGAATTGGCGTTGCAAACGTAGGTTGTAACCTGAGTGACGCACAAGCAACCCAACGAGTCGTCTATTCGCTACGGCGTCCAACAAAATGCCAGTCGATTTTTAGCATTTAGCATGTGATGCCAAAACATAATTATAGTAAGAAAACGAAGGAACCCGGGAAAAAGTGTGGTCGAATCGAGGCGTCACGAGACCAAATCGTCAAAAACACGATGGGCAAACTGAAATCTGTCTAATTTAAGGAAATCAGGTGTGTAAAGGTAGTCTTTTCAGCGAAGTCCTACTTAGGAAGTGTGGTCCGCCCCCAGCAATAAGATGCGCAGACTTCCAGAAGTTCTTAGTGAAACGCCCAGCATGAAACCAACAAGAGATTGTCAGCCAGCGCAACACACGCGACAAGCCATATTGAGATAAGCAATGAGATACTACTTAAAATAAACTACCGAGATGACAGGATGAGTGTCGCATTTACAAGGCAGACATTCTGACAAGCATGCACTTCAACACTTTACATTAAAGGTACCCATATTAATCCAACTGTCAACCAGAAATGAAATCACATCCAGACTGCCAGGACTTTGGTTGTCGAATTATCATTCTTTTGATCCAAGATACTTCCGTTTGCCCTTGAAGCTCAGCTACTCGCATGACTAGACACATAGTCTCTGTTCCGCGTTAGCTGGGGACTGACCGTTACCAACGTTCCGCTTGTCTAATAACCCCACTGGCCCGATTTTTCCACCCCAGTACTTCCACGCTACAAAATAGTGCCGTGTTTCACACACTCTATACAGTGATCCGCCAACAAGAACCCCCATAGAGACCTGGTTAAGGTCATTTTTTTAAGAGACAGAGGAAATCCCTATTATCGTATGACGACCGAATAACATGAGTCAACCTTTTTATTTTTGTGAGTGGTTAGTTCTGTTTCCTATGATTCGCTCTTCATTTGATCTCGTCTGAAATGCAACCCTCGCACATTGGGCGAAAGAAACGGATGAAAGTTGGGACTTCAAAGCCTAATTTTCTCACGAAAAAAAGGTACTGTGTAACCTTACCGAAGACCAAAAAATCGTCGCCGTTACCTGTCGTCCGCTATTTCACCGTCATCGGGGCGGCTTCACCGGTCGTTCCCCAAGTTGCGATTGCCTGAAGAACAGTATCTAGATAAAACTGAATTCATTGATGAGACGCTTTTCGCCGATTGCTCAAATCTCACAATCCCCGTAGCTCAAGAATAGGTGGATTGGATCTCATCTCGTAGTCATGCATGTCAATGAAATGCACAGCGGAGCTGTTTATTAGACGGATCTAATCTTAGTTGTTGATATTTATATAGTTTACATTTGAATCAGGCGAATGATCGACTTGTGTAGACAGCTACTATAGATAGCCTATTTGATAGCCGATTAGAAAGTAATCAGTTAAGGCGGAGCATGACCAACCATGATTTCCCTGTACTAAACAGGTTAGACTCGCACGATGTCCTGAGAAGTAGAATGGCATACAAGGGACATAGCAATCAACGTTGCATTCACCAGTGCAATGCAAGAATGTGTATACTAGGACACGTATGGTCTAGGAATAAAACTTCGGAAAGCGGTATGTGAAGAGTTCTGCACCTGCGTTGTTTTTCGACGATACTACGACCCTTGCATTGCTAACAGTTGGCAGCTTTACATTAGCTAAGCGATTTCTGTTTGATCTTTTGGGGTAGGAGCACTTCATTGTTCATTGATCGTCTAAGGACACGGGTCTTCCTGCTGGATTATCGGCTCCTAAAATGAGCTTACATCGAACGACAGGGCTTACAACACTTCGATGACCTCGACTGTGAAGTGCTAAGTAAAACATATGGAGCAACTACCGTTGACCTCACGTTCTATAATACGTCTCGTGATTTTCCGCGTTACACACCAACCAAAGGGCATACGAACAGAAGGCACGGACTCTTAAGGTCGTAAATTCCCAAATCATGGGCTCTAGTTACAGGTCCCAAAGTCAACATCGTCCCTTAGACTGCAAAAATTGGAAATAGTTTAGCCATAGTGCTGTATTAGAACCTTAGATGCCCTCGCATCCTCAGTCGCCGGGATGCAGGCAGCCTGCATACTACCCGGTATATACTCCGTTCCCTTAGCATAGATCGACAACTGCGCGTTAAGCTCTTCATCCCAACGTTATTTTTGTATGAAAAATAACATTTGCCATGCACATGCTGCACCAGTCAGAGGCTGTTTACCATGAATGGAAATATCAACCAAATGCTCAATTCTGCTGCGCCGCTCAAGGTCGTAACATGTACGGTAATTGTTACAATCCGGTCACAGATTTGCACTAGTCCGAATAATGGACGCCCCCAAAATTGACTCTACTTTCGAGATCTGGCTTCAAGACACTTTACCAGGGTAGTCACATTCCAACCACCTGGTGTCCAAATACTGCTTGCGCAGTAAAACTTTCTTGGATTTTCGGAAGACCCTCCATGGTGACAGCTGGCCAAAGCTGGCTTGGGATTGCACTCATTAAGACTTCTGAACCAGCTCTTGTCGACTAAGTCCCGTTCATCATCAACAACAGCATGACATCGATGTTCAACACTGATGCCTCGTTGTCGTACAACCATGATTATTTGAAAGCCTTACTTCAAAGAAAAGAATAAAAGTGGACAGAGAAGGTACTTAGTGTTAGCCTGCCAGAATCACTCCATGTTGCCCGCACCTCCTGATACTCACTTAGGCAATCGGGATAGAAACAGGTAACAAGAACCCAACTGATATCGATTGGCAGCCATATAAAAATGGGGCACTGACAGTGAATGAAAGCCACAGAAATATTAATTTGACTGTCGTCAAAACAAGGTTTCTGATTTGAGGCGGTACGCTGAACATTGACCACTGAGCATCGAACGGGATCACGGGATGTACCAAAAGTTTGTGAACATTGCCCTGTCCTTATGCTCGCATACTTCAGAATGCGCAGGCTGGTGGGAGCTTCATCGACTTAGAGTATACAGATGATGTCACCCTAAACTCTGGAGGAAAAACAAAGCAAGAGAGTTGTTGAATAAACTGACCACCATCACACTAGTTTTCAGCATGTGCCTTACACCTACAAAGTCATGCTTCAGAACGTACATACCTTGTACACGCCCCTTAGAATACAAGAAGACAGTGAAAGTTTTGGGGAAGTTTACGTACGTCGGCATTTGTATAAGCACTGACAAATGTCTGATGAGACTACGAAGGCTTGAATAGCGCTTACCAAACTGTCACTTGACGCCAAAAAGAAATCACTGTCTCAGACACCGCGTGTGACAGCCTACAGTACAAACCGTGTTGTTGTGACCTCCGTCGGCTGATTATCTTGGGTGACTTTGTAATTTTGACCACTGGTGTTTCGGAATCATTGCTGGTACCAGATAGTGTGACCTAGTTAGTCAGGAGGCAATGAGAAAATGAATGTTTGTTTGCGCAAAAGATGATTCAGTCACGGTGAACACTCAGCAACATCAACTGCAGTAAATCAGTCATGTGCTATGCGTGTCGGAACATCGTCTACAGAGATGGGTATTATCCTCCATTTCTACTTCGAAATTCGAGACGGATGTGAGTTGGCAGGAGTGTGTGAAAGAGATAACGGAGAGTTTGGGTGCGGTTGTTGAGATCTGCCTTCCAGAATGGGGCCCAGGGTCTTTCTCCTGTTTGAAAGGGCGGCTAACCGATCCGTGGCGATAGTGCCGTCAGTTTCCAGCTCATCCAGCAGAGCACTTGGGAGTTAAGACAATTTAGAACTCTTGGGATAGTTTAAAACCGGGTCCATTCTCTATCTACTCCTTCCTTTCTTCACTTGGAGGTTTTAAATATAAGTAAATAATCATGTGGTTGCATGGCAATGCAGCACAATCTCTGACACTGATGCTGCCCTCTCTGTTCGTGATAGTGATGACACCCCCTCCATGAGATATAAGCCACATTCCATGCAGGCTGAGATTCTATCAACCGTATTTTTATCCTATAAGACCGGTTAGAATATCGTAGACGGACCAGCTTCGTTGTGCTGGAAATTAAGAGAGCACTTGATACGGGGATGGATTGTCGCTGAATCTCGTTGAGTACCGGAAGAGCCCATCCGCATTCCGAGCACTTTTACGCTCATTTACCTGCATGGTGAACCCGCTTCAAACTCCAACATTTCAAACGGAGGCAGACAGAGATATCCATTATCCCCAGTACAATTCAACCTTACAGCAAATACGCCTAATAATATAAAAAAGATAAGCGTTCAGCTGTAGCACCCTTCCGGTGCCTAGCTGCCATGCTACCCGAAGGAAGCGCGAGGGCTGGATACTGCCAGGTTGCCCAATCCTAGACAGGGGAAGTCAAGAGGCGGAGGTCGGATTCGAACCACGGACCCTCCGGTCAATAGATTCGCGCTCTAACCACTTGGGCCATCTCGCCTAAGGACATGATGGACGCTCGAGCAATGGTGTGGAACTGCTTACAAGCGAATGACTGAGACACTTGCAATACATGGACAAAATAATCACTGTGCTTGGAGGACAGAATTTCTTAGATTAAACCATTACTGTTCGCAATTTCGGTCTTAGTCAAACTTCACATGACTGAAGAGTGACGTTATTTGATTAGTCATCTCCTACTCCGATTCTGTCTCGACGATGGCTCTGCTGAAGTTGCGGGGAAATTTTTACCTTGGAAGCTATTTCAGTTCCAGAGGTCTGAAGGATGAAGTTTCTAGTCGGATCCTCATCAAGATCCCTTGTTTGGCGACAAAAATAGATCAGTGCTTCGCTAAAAGTCCGTGTGTGCAAAGCTTCCGCACGCGCAGTGTCATTTTAAGGAAGCGAAACCTGGACTGTCCAACTAGAAGCTTAGCGATAAACCGATACTTGTGAGGCATTATCATAGCCGTCGTCTGTCGCCACACTGAGGTTCTTGTCCCAGTAACTATCGTTATTCTGCTCTTCATGTAGTGTGAAAGGCCCCTAGGTCAACTTCTCCAGTTTATGCACTACATGATTTTTGCGAACATTCCAGCACCATAAGATCGACAGGTAAACGTACAAAACCTAATGCCCACAAGGAAGTGTCAGTGGTCCTTTACTTCACGAAAAATGGTTGTTTCTATGTTCCCCGAATTTCACTTGGGGGACAGCAAATGGAAAGACCGAGCTAGAGGAACTCCCTACAGAAAAACAAGCAATCACTCGGTAGAGTCTGGTGGGAGACTATGTGCATGATTGAGCCATACGGGTCGGGAAGACGGTGGACGACACTTCCCGGAATCTGAGGCATTTAATAAATAAAATAAATGATAACCATTCATCTGTAGCACCAATCCGGCGCATGACTGTCACGACACCCGAAGGGAGCACTATGGCTGAGATACTGCAGATTGTCCAAGTCCAGACAAGTCCAGTCGAGATGCCTGGGTTGGGTTCGGGTCGGTAAGTTTGTGTATTAACCACTGAGCTATCTCGAGTTCATTTGGGGCAGTCTGACACCTTATGACCATTGCTCAACAGGCAGCAACCGTCTCATCAGCGAACAAGGCTAGCAAATGAGTGTTCTTCCTTTAAGCACAGCACTCAAGACTGGCCCGGCAAAGCCTCATCTATTCAAATCAAGAAATGGACATGTGATGCACCAATAATCCAAAAACGGATAAGCACCAATTACGTGTTGGTTAGCGCAAGGCGGGTCTCACTTAATCACGCACTGACAATGTCTCCTAGAATGGTGAAAAGTTTGCGAGCCAATTACCAGGCTCATCCGCCACCTGGTCAACAATCAGTATGTAACTACTTCTACGGAGAGACCACAGATTGAGGGTCCGTTAATATGGATATTCGCAACAAGATAGGTACATCTCATCCGCTTTTGTCAGTCCACAAGGGCGTAAAGCTTGGGACCCGATCTAAAGCTGTCACTCCGTCACGGTGGTCGGGCTTCTGTGCTGCAGTGATCCCGTGGGCTATACTAGCTGGAACAAATTTCCTAAGGGCTCAACCACTACACGAAGGCCAATGAGGAGCGGCGAGTCCCCATACTGCGAGTAATCGTATTATGAGACGGTCTAGAGATAAAGTCGTACTGTCCTATTTGATAGGGGTGTGAATGTAGTAAGGTGTTTCCGCCAGGCGACCAGCATGTCCGTATTTATGGAACCGGTGATGGTGCCTTCCTCCGAGGAAGTACTGGTAAGAAAAGGTCGATCCTCAAAACCACAAACCCCGATTGCCCAACGGTTGACCGTGATCGCTGGCGACTTATTCAATACGGTCGAAATACTTTTGGTGCTGTTCAAAAGGCACCTGTTGTACGCAACCGCATTAGGGTCGAGGCAGTCAAGCCTTGCACTCTGAAACCAAGTGGGTGAGACTATTGAGTCAGAGCCTAGGGGATTGGTTCTGGAAGAAAACTCAACATCCTCCCAGTCTTGTGGGTCAGACCTTCGAGTCAAAGGCTCAAGGTGGGGTACCTCAACCAAACCTCCTCCGGATCGTGGGGGGGGGGGCTTGGAGCTCTTTGCCCACTGGCTTTCCCCTACATCCCCTCTCCACCCATCCAACTATGCAGTACTATCAACTCATCTACCAGTCCCCTAGCCATTATTCGGTGTCTGAACCATTGCCCAGAAAAATAAACATGAATACTCATTTAATATCTACCAGAGATCTGGTTCGCGTTGCAGCCTTCAATGTCTGTACTCTCTGTCGAATTGGGCAAAAGGAATCTCTCGTTAAAACCTTGCATTCCTATCTGTCGATATATATCGTGTTTCTCCAAAACACACATCAAGACCCCACTTCGGTTGTGCACCTACAGCCACTTAGGATGAGCTCAGATTTCCGCATTTCACTTTTCGAATAGCTGGTGATCCTGACACAATGACTTGTGGTATCTACGGCGTGGAAGTTGCACTAAACCTCAAGGCTGAAAGGGCTTTGCTGGGCTGGATCTAAGCAAACAGTCATCTTTACGCTGTGCGGCTGTCTGGTTCAATTGAGATCAATGTAGATTGATGCGACAGACGGTGTTTATTCGCCCTATCGGCATCCGACCTCACAGACTACAGTTCTGAGACTGAGAACGACGGGTTTCATCAAGGTCGGTCACGACTGCTTTGTTAAGCAAGAAGGACAGTATAGTAATCCTGGCAGGTGATATGAATGCCGAAGTTGGACGAATAAGTCAGGAAGAAGCACACCTGGATGTTAAATTTGGAATGGGCGCTCAATGCAAAGATAATGGAGAGAGGCTGCTTCAGTTGTGTACAGGTCATCCTCTAATCCTGACATCATAAACGCTGAAATCGAGTTACATGAAGGCCAGTAACCACAAGACAATCATGGACTCAAATGGACAATGCGGTTATCGGATGGAGAGCCTCACTTGAAGGTTATCGTACGCAACTTGAATCTGACCATGCTATTATGCGGGCCGATGATCACTTCACTTGCGGTCAGCATTATGCGTGCCAGTGCAGCGCAACTCTATTGATCAACTTTGACAAGTTTCAGTCGCTCAAGCGTATTGAGCTGATCTAGCTAGAAAGCTACCGAAAACTCAGTCATGCAGATGACGAGAGCGCTTCGAAGTTGAAAGCAAGCGAGTTAAGGAAGCCATGCTCTCAACTTTCAGAATTGTTTGTCCAAACCATCCGACTCTACTCAGCATCTTATTACTGCCAGGAAAGCCATACCAGCAAGCAGCGACTATGATGGCGCATGTAGATCCCTCAAACACCGGTTAATCAGGAGCTTGAAGAATGGATCGCGAAAGTCCAGGAAATGGGGAGGGCTTTCGTTGCAGGCAACAGCGGCGCCCCATTTCAGCTGATTCGAGCAACTGCCCATAATAAGTGCCAGCCAAACTATAAGCGAAAAAGATGGAACGGCCATCGTTGTCTGAAGCGACGTGCAAAGCACTTCAAAGAACAGTCCGGCTGGTCCCATTCAACACAATCGCTGAGATAACCCAACAAGCTTGAATGGAACATCAACACCTGCCCAGAGTCAACAGAAATCCAGCGTGAGATACTCCTTCAACGCGACAAAACACATGGCCCAGAGATGGTCTGAATCCCACATTCATCAAAAGAAGGTACTGGTGAACAGTTTGCTTCAGAAGATTTGGAACGAAACGGAATGCCGGCCCACTGGAGCTCCTCGACCGTCATTCCAGCCTTCAAGGAGGGCGGAGGAGCGTCGTTCGCAAACCATTGTGGCATCAGCCTGGTTACCGCAGCATCTTAACATCACTTTGCACAGCTCATCCGGAGAGACAGCTTCGTGAGAATCAAGCTTAGTTTCGCCCGGGGCGAGGATGCGTCAACCATAGCCTTACGCTGAAACACGTTCTTGAGCAGCACCACTCTTTCAAACGTCCCACGTTGGTCGTTTTTCTTGATCTGAAAGCTACTTTTGACTCTGCCGATTATCAAACTTCGACAGCACCTGGCGATCAAAGGCGTCCCTTCCAAATTATATCCTTTATAAGGGAATTGTATGCGAAATCCTATGGACGGGTGCGAGTGTACGGAACGTTCTCGATGCACCTCAGCTCGTCTAGTAGTGCAAAACGAGGTTGCTCTCTTATTTTTCCTCTCTTACTGATGTGCTGCTTTGAATTATTCTCACTGCCCATGAAACCTCGGGGTGGGGGTTGAAATGCTCCTGGAGCATTAGCTCACAGGTACTGAGTATGTGGACGATATTGCTATTCTTACTTCAGATCCTTCAAGAATTCGAACCATTCTGAATAACCTAAATAATTCTGCCGCACAGTTTGGGGTGTGTCTCACATCTGCAGTGAAAAGTTGGCGGAATCAAAATGAAACCTCATGCTTGCAGACGAGCCAATCGACGCGGTAGATAAATTTGCTTCTCAGGGCAGTTGTGTGAATTCAGGTGGACCGGCTTCAGACGATATTACCTCTCGAATCGGGAAGGCAACCTCCGACACTCATGGTGCAGAGTTTACACTGTGGCGGTACGACCCATACTGTCTTGTGAATCAGAAACGTGGTCTCTACGCACAGAGGAAATACGAGGGTTGTCAGTGTTTTACCATCGATCTACGAAGAATTAGTTGGACCTACTGGAATCAGGGGATTAGCAATGCTGAGGTATGCCCTAGGGAGAAGTTAATCTCCCACGATAGATGAGTTACTCATGCTTCGTAAGTTTCGGGGGTTAGTACGTGTACTCTGGATGTCAGATGACCATCTGCCTCGAAGCGCTCTTTTTGTCCAGCTCTGAGTGGAAGCAACCAAGATTTGAACAGTATACGACTTGGCAACGAAGTGTGAAGGCATGAACTAGTAAAATGAGTCAGATCGACATCTGTTGTCTCCCTGGGTGGGAACCCCGGGACTCAAGTCACCAATAATTAATGACGCTGGCAGAAACTTCCCAGGTGCGCAGTCGCCTTCACTGCAACTACCCAGTTCTCGGACTAACTGAACATGCCATCGACTCCAACAGCTGGATGTCTTCCACACTATCCGACCTTCCGGAGGTAGGACCTATAGTAGCTGGAACCAGTGCATTCATGATACACGGCTTATAGCTGATAAATCGAGTCACTCGAGTAATTGAACGGTTCGGAATGACTTACTTTCCGTTATTTTGACCTTTTGGATGAGTCAGCACATTCTGTAAGATCTTATGGCCTCCCCGATCTAGGCATCAAATAGGTGATACTGAGGTGGCATACCGTAGCCGGACAAATCAAGGCCTGCATTGTAATATTCAGACGGAAGTTGTTATGGAAGGGTGAGGCGTACTAAATAAGCGACCCTGAAAATAACAAAACACTATCATCACATCGAAAAAAGCATTCAGCTGCAGCACCCTTTCGGAGCCTAACTGACATGCCACTGGAAGGAAGCACGAGGGTTGAGGTATTGCCAGGCTGCCCAAGCTTAGACAGAGGAAGTGGAGATGCAGAGGTCGGCTTCCACTGACCTTCCGGTCAGTAAACTGGCGCTTTAACCACTGAGTTATCGAGCATCAAACTGAACGAACGATGGCTTGTTGTGACTGCGCGGCTGTCTCGGGAACTTAACTCCTCAGCGTAATTTAAGGTCCGTATTGGTAACGGAGTAAAATCTCAATGTTGAACCGACCATACAAGAGATCGCGACTAGAGATGAACAGGAGCCTAAGTTACGAACTATTTGATTGTATAAGTATATTGACAGCTATCCCCGAACGAGACTTTCGCTGGTCGGAGCATACCACCGCGGCTCCCTCATTCCGTGACAAAAATCTGAAAACCATTGCCCGCCTGCTCACCTAGGTAAAGAAGCTTGCTGATTCCTGCCTGGGCTGTTTGCATAGGCAAACCATGTGACCATCTTTTATCGGGAATCTTCAACCGTTAGGTCATTAACTCCATTCTAGGCAACTGGTCAGCAGCCCTGAAACACTTTCGTCAACCAATCTGTTTCACCCCAGAATAAACCAAACCAAAGGCCCCAGGCGGTGATGTAATCGGCTTAGCGGGGCTACTAAAGTAATGCTTCCCGATGTTTATGAGAGTACCGAGACAGCCAGCCCAAGAAATAGGGATGTCAGGCGTATCGTTCCATTGTGAGATATGCGTTCCGAATACATCCAACCTCAAAGGCCACGAGCGTTATGGCTGGACTATTTTGACTGAAAAATTTATATTGTCCTACGTTCCCCATTTTACTTGAAACACTTGCATGAGTATACAGTCGTAGCGCATTACAAAATGCCTTGGTTCCGCGAGCAGCTAGGAACTAGAAACCAAACATACCGCAGACTGATGCCCCTAATTCGCACATCTACTTATCACGAGCAAACCCAGGCTGCAATGAAAAGTGACATAATAAGATTACAATTTAATCAACGGAAATGAAGACAGTGCAGTTTACTAGAACGAATATTTAGCCACCACGAAGGCGCAAAACCAAGTGCAAAGTAGACTCTTTCTGGATGTTGTAGTCAGACAATGTACGACCGTCCTCCAATTGCTTGCCGGCGAAAATAAGGCGTTGCTGGTCAGGTGGGATGCCTTCCTTATCTTGAATCTTCGCCTTCACGTTCTCAATTGTGTCGCTAGCCTCAACCTCGAGGGTGATCGTTTTGCCAGTCAGGGTTTTCACAAAGATTTGCATACCACCACGAAGGCGAAGCACCAGGTGAAGAGTAGACTCTTTCTGGATGTTGTAGTCAGACAACGTACGGCCGTCCTCCAACTGTTTGCCGGCGAAAATAAGGCGTTGCTGGTCAGGTGGGATGCCTTCCTTATCTTGAATCTTCGCCTTCACGTTCTCAATTGTGTCACTGGCCTCGACCTCAAGAGTGATCGTCTTGCCGGTCAGCGTCTTCACGAAGATCTGCATTGTGCACGTCTGAAGAGTGATAGTGAGAGCGCCCTCGGAGCTCCGGTCTTATTTCGAGTCCGCCTCCTGCGTTTTCTCTGTCAACCAATCCGTTGACCACACAGGGCGGAAAGTAGGGTGTTCGTTGGTTGTCTCATTGGTTGAAGCCATTTGCCTATAAATCAGCCAATCAACTTTTCAAGCCTGTCTGTGATCGTTAATGGATCGATCACATATGCAAGCTGTGTGCCTGGTTAGGTCTGTCCCGCATGCATTGAGGCTCAGGCTGCGTAGAGCTTTCTGAAGTGTCAATACGCCTATCGATTGCACGGTGCGTCAGGCGTGCCGTATGCTGGATCGACCGAGAATGTTTGCAACCGATTTAGACTAGATTGTGCGTGATGTTCACTACTTAGTTTGGAGGGATTATGGTGATATATTATCATTGAGTTTAAGAAGTTGCCAGGTCGGTTTTTATACACGAATGAATGAATGAAAAGCGGAGGACTCCGATTCGGATCCGGTCGGTTCTCCGGCCCTTCAGATCCGATTATTTGGCATGTGAGAACCGAAATGGGGTCTGTCTGTAATTTTCATAATTAATCAGCCCCAATGATGCCAGTAACTAAGGGAAGAAAGTCTTATCCGTCTAAGAACTCAGTCGTTCTTGAAAAAACGCCAGTCGAGTGTGGACATCCTGGACCCCTCTGGCGGGAGCACTGGTGGTGCTCTTACAAACTCATTAGCACTAGAGCAACCGCCGAAAGTTTCACCCTACCGCGTCTGCCACCTGAGGAACACCCACACAGGATTCGAACGTCAATCTTCCGTGACATCCGAATCAAGCATCTAAAGAATTTAACGATTCCCCAAGATTTAGTAGCCTTGGGCAGAGTTCACGCTTCTTGTCGCATACGTTTTCACCAACTTTAAGAAGTTCGCAGTGCGACGTCCCTAATTCATTGTTGTTCGATGACCATTGAGGTCTGCTCAGAATGCACTTCTCAAGACAAAGATCAATACAGTGTTAAATGAAAGCAGCAAGTAAAAAGGCATTTCTAACTTACAACAATAAATTGGGTACAGAGGGGCGAATTCCGCAAGGAAGCGTTTATAAAGTGGGAAACATACTTTCTTACGAAACCCTAAATGTTATCGAGCCATAAAGAAATTCGCCAAAAATAGCTTATTGTGTAAGCATGTGTACCGCATAAGGTGGATTGTAGCTCTCGATGTACTTTTTCCTCCTGAGAAGCCCTTGTTGATGATTTTTTGTGTGCTGGAAGGCGAATCGTTAAGATTATGAGTTGCTGATGAAACCGCTTTCCCATGAGCAATGGGAAACCTACCCTAGATCGTCAGGCATATTTTGTATAGTTGTCCCTGTTTGTTTCTTCGGGGTATTTGTACTAATTCAGTGCTAGGTGGTGGTTACGAGTAATACGATGTGGATGGTCCTTATGCGCCACCCTTAGCTGTACGGTATAGAAAGCTCTTAGTGCTCCAAAGGGAAATATATAATGTGAAAACCTAAACAAATTGTCACTCAGTATTACACAAAAGCTGAATAAGTGGGAAAAACGAGAATCCAAGAGGCATATGTAACTAGAGCACTCCAGACTCAGAAGCTCTACTCAAGGGCGAAGTTAGTCAGGGTTCGCGCATAACCGAGCTCACTCTGTACGGCTGCTCAGAGGAAACGTTTGTCAAGCTCGATAGTGCAGGTAATTACACCGTGCTTGTTTCTTTCATCTAGAGAAGTGTAAGTGGACGGCGCGACGAGAAGATACGCTGTAATCTGTGTTGGAGTGATCGGCTGAAGCGGATGTTAGACCTATTTTGGTTTGCGACAATTTAACGGAAAATGTGGGGTGTGACGAGGTAGCAGCTAGCCTTCTGTAAAATGGTCAGGCAAAGTACACATTTCATTTGGAGCCTCCGCTTATAGGTGAACACTGAGTCCATCTCTGTACGCATACTACTAAGTGCACTATTCCCCGAGAAAACACATCGGCTACAAAACACTGGTATGTATGTGTAGGTTAACAGAACGTTCGTGTGGCGATTTGAAGCCATATCCTGTCAGATAATTTAATGAAGCCATTCATCCAGGGACTGTTACAACACTAGCAAATCGGACAGTGTGTACTTTTGAAATGCGGCTATTCAGGTAAAACAGTGTTTGTTCCTCGTATTCTGACCGGGTAACTCTGGTGCTTATCATATCATATGGCTGCACTCTCCACTAGCACATACGTGAAGTTAGATATTTAATGAGGCTAAATAGAACGCTTAAAAGTGGCAGACGTACGCGGCACTGACACGGCCTTGGATGGAAGAATTCACGTTGTCTAGTACTCTTGTATCGAGAGAACACCTCCATCCAGGCGACAGTTTGTTTTCATTACAGTCCCCTCACCCTTGGAACAAACACCAGGAATTGAAGTGAAGGTAAATCATAGTTTCCCAAAAGGTTGATTTACTCTCGAACAGCGAACACCACAATAGGAATGTCTTGCCACTGACCCGAATTTCGACGGCTGACTCAATAAACCGTGTGTAAATTCATGACTCGACTTGACCTAGTGGACAAATTAACCTTGTATACGCATGCTTCATGAGCCGTTGGAACCAAGTGACCAGTTGTTCCCAGTTATTTAGTTAATATTGGTCTTTCGAATCACTCGTGAGACCGTTTGTGATCCAACTTTACAGAAGCTTAGACCATGTCTATATATACGTATGCCTTAGAAGTAGCATTACCACCAAATTCAAGCACCCCTTGCCCCACAGCTATTCTAACCACACAGCTAACATCGTGAAGCGCAAGGCCGTATATTCTTTAATGTCTCCAGCGGTGATACAAATCGCGGAGTTTCAACACTTTGTATATTGAGGCCAACTTGTAAGGCAGGTGCCTAATCTACCATTCCGTAGGGGGTGTGGTAAACAGAGGCCTTAGTAATATAGGAAAACTGAATTAGGTTAATTAGTTTCGTAATTCCAAGGTTGGCATTCCAGTGTCGTCTGACAAGTTGACTGTAGACGCGAATTATAGCCCAGCCCTATAATGAGGTAGCGTAGTGCCAGTCCTTGATATCCATTGAAAGTGAAGAAATGGGTGCATCCGTAATCTCCTGTTGATGACCTTTGACAAGGGGGGCTTTGAAATGAAAGATGCACATGCAGACGGTAACAAACGGGAGTAAGAATAATGCTGCAAGCCCCAGTCAAACAGTTCACTCTTCACATTGTAGCACCTTAACTACTCTGAATACAGAGGTTCTTCAGAAGAGAGAAAAACACTACTACTCAACTATTATTCCCGAGAGGTAATTATTGTAAACTCGCAAAAAGTGACAAGTTGGTCTGAATTTCCTGTCTAAGTGATAACTCTAATAAACATTACGCAAATCAGCTGTTGTGCCGACATTAGTTAGCAGTTTTCGATGTGATCACACCATGCTTCCCGGTTCATCGTTCTGACCCTGATAACATCTATTCTTTCGCTCCCAAAGCTGCTGCGATTGCAAACAATTCTGGCCCACAAACGATGAAGAGCTGACGTGGATTTTCAGGAACTATCATCTGCTGTTGGCATGAAGCTATGTGATCTAATTCAGCCGAAACACCAGCTTGTCTCTACATGCCACCTGCGATTCATGTTCTTCCTCGGAAACTACGTTAGTGGTGGTTCTATGTGAGCACCTTTCAACCCTGAGCAGGATGCTCAGCTGGCTAATCCAATTGTATGTGTACCTGCTGAATCAATCACTGAGTCTTGTGTAACCTGTTAGCAACCCCATTTTCGTGTGGTTGTACTATTCTCAGCAAGGTTAAGTTGAGAAACGCATTATCACTTCCTGAGGACACCTGCATCTTCTTCCTTTTGTTCTAGTTTTGACTTGAATCGGCCAGGTCAATACAGTTGTCCTACGCTTGTTCTACTTGTTGGTCGCATGCCACAACCTTTCACAAAATCTCTGTTGATACTGTTCCCCCGACGGAATCTGAGTGTGTTCATGCGAATCTCTTATAAGCGATAACACTAATGATGATTCCTAGTTTACATTTGGTTTCTTTCCAAAGCTGCATCACTGGTTGAGAAACGATCATTTAAATGCAACTGCTTGTCACCACATTAGCAATAGCCTCATCGTACGCTTCCAACACCAACTGAAATTTGTTGTACTGACGTCTTTCTTCAACGCATACTGGCTGTAGCATTTAGCAATCATCCCTCCTGGATTGCACAGCGCTGTAAAAGAGGACGTGGGTTGCTCACACACGGCACTCATATGTGTAATACCCACAGATTACCGGAACGATTGGTCTTATACCAATGCTTTCAAGGTGAACTCAATTCCAGATCATTTGGTCAATGTTTGAAGTAATGGATAAGCTAAGACAGACTAACACATACTCCACAAAAAATTTCAGACATACCACTTCATTTTCGCCCGTGCTGACTAGCTCTGCAGACTTTCACCATGTCTGTCCCTACAAGGTTATCTGCTGTTGAGAGAAATTTCGTAATGGTCGAGACGATGTGGTTGTTATCGACTGAAATTTGTACGCCTATATCCCACATATTCCATCTACATTTCCACATTTTACGATAGTTGTGTCGAGTATCCCATCTTCTAAAGACTCTACTTACCTTCGTGCACGCAGCAAGAACGCTCCGAACGTACTGTTCAGCCCCCTTCTGGCTCTACAGATAAACTGTCACATTTAGCTTGATCGAATGTCTAAGTCTAAGTAAACTCTAGGTGGGAACCTTTGTAGCATTTCACTCTTTTTTTCATCGTGCACCTATCTGAATCCTGATAACTGCTTCATTACATGATTACTGATGCACAGACTGCATTCACGCGTACATTCTTCCACACACACACACACACACACACAGACGCACGCTCAGGCTGTCGCTGTAGTCAGTTTGATGGCCGCTCACTTCTGAAATCAGCTAGTGCCATTTATTCACTGCTGTACAGGTACGATCAGGTACCCGACGCAGTGAACCTGGCTTTCACATTTTTTTCTGGAAAGCCAAATCACGGTGACCGGAATACGGGAGCCAGACATGCAAATGTATTAACATTAGTATGTGTATTCGACAGGGACACTGAAAGCTTATTAGCACATTGTGCGTCTAGTCAATGCACCATCCATCAGTTTTTA